CGGCCCTCAGCAGTGAGTGTTCTTGGTCCCATTGGACAGGCTTGGGGCAGTGGGGGGAGAGGATCGGGGGGCCTGAGCTCATTCTTCTGCTTCTCAGAACCTAGCAGGTGCTCAAGAAACACTCGAGGATATATTTGGAGCCATCGTCTAGGAGCATTGATTTTGTTCCAGAAGCTGCGATCTGCCTTGTCTATACTTGCATCTTTCCATGTGAGCCTCTAAAGAACCATGACAAGTAAGTGCTACTGCCACCACAGAGAGGCTCAGAGAGGTTAACTAACTTTCCCAGCACCACAGAGTAAACAGGAGAAGACAGGAACAAAGGAATGAGGCACTGTCCTGCAGCCACAGATGCCCCGGGGGCCTGTCCAGGCTCTCTCGAGAGCTACTGCGGCCCCTTCTTCTGCCCAGAGGATGCCAGTGGGGCACATCAGGAGAATGGACATGGAGGAGCCACATGGCATGTGGGGGTGGAGGGCGGACGTGAGGAATTGGCGCAGGGATGTGGGTGGGCCATACAGCTCGGCTGGCTGAGGGCTTCCTGGAGGAGGCTGCATTTGCTGCCAGGGTTGTATTTTCATCCTGTAAGGCCCCTGGGGGATTTCTCTGCTTATCAGCCCCTCCCAGCACACCCGGAGTTACCAGACCTGTTCCCGGGCCCACTGTGCCAGGGCGTGTACAGCCAATCGCTGGCGGCAGGAGAGATGTAGATGTGTGACTCAGAAGGAGATCAGCCCAACCCGGTGTTTGTGAGGTCGCCCCAGGTGCTGTGCCTCTCCCAGGCTCAGGCACATGAAGTCCTGTGGGAGGCAGCCAGCCGCTCGCTCCCAGGGGGACTGACAGTCGGCAGAGGTCGGGGCGGGAGCTGGACTAGGACTATTATCAGCACATCTGAAGGCAGAATGTCGGTGAAAGGGGTCAAAGGCGCCGTGAAGCAGCCAAGGTTGGAGCCTGCACAGGGGTATATGGGGCCCAGGGGGCGAGGGCCAGGGGCAGAGGGGCCACAGGGCAAATGGCACTGGGCAGGGGCCAGCAGCACGGGGGCAGGGGGCGCAGGAGGGATATGGGGCCCCAGGGTTGGGGGGCCTGGCTCAGCGCAGGGAGGGGCATGCTGTCCTGCTCTGGCTGTGCCGTGTGGCCTCAGGTCAGTTATCCCATCTGAGCCTCATCCCCCACTCGACCCTCTACCCCTTGGCACCCAGGAGCACCCTCGGAGGACCCCTCTGTCCCCGGCCTTGTGCTGGCCCGGCTGTGCTGTGTGGGGACAGATCCTGTCTTCCCTTGAGCGGCTCCCAGCCTGGGAAGGAGGCAGGATGTGGACGAACAGGGCCAGCCAGGCAAGTGTCACCAGGGCTGTGATCAGGATCAGGGCTGAGGAGCCGGGAGGGCGAAGAAGCAGCTCCTTGGGAGGTCTGGCCGGAGCTCGGTCTTGGGTTTCAGGTTGTAAGAGAAACGCTCACTGTTCATTTCTGGTTCTGGAAGTATTGCATTCTCATTGTAGAAAATCTGGAAGCTACAGAAAGATGCTGAGAAGCTGATAAAAAGCGCAGGGCACACATTGGTGCATGGTGGTGGGAAGGGGCTGGAGGGCTACCCGGACTGGCATTGAACCCGCCATAGTGCAGCTGTGAGGGGGCAAGTCAAGTCAGGACACCTTACGGAGCCTCGGTTTCCTCATCCTTACAATGGGATAATACTAAGACCCTCAAGGCTTAAATGAAATGAAGCATGACAAACACTTAGCTCCGGGAGCCAGCTCTGCTGCCCCCCGCCAGCCTGAGTTCTGCGGTTTGCCCATTGCCCATGGAATAAACCCCAGCTCCCTGGGTGAAGATCCTGTCAGGCTGTTGACCTGCCCAGCTGCATCTTGTTTCTCCAAATCTCCCCCACAGGCCCTTTGCACATGCTGATCCTTCAGTCTAGGGCATCTGCCCTCCGAGAGCTCCTCCGTTTCCCATGGAAGTCAGAGGCTGCTCGTGGGGTCTCTAGCAACCTCCCTCAGAGCTTGTGGCACACCAATTCATGTTTATAATTATACTGTCTTTGATGTCATTGTTCTGTGTCTAGACTGAGCTCTGTGAGGGCTGGCTAGGTCTGTTGTGGTCACTTATGTAGCCCAGATCCAGCTTGGGCCTGCCTGGTAAGAAGCCTGGAGCCCCCATCAGCCCCTCCTCAGCAAGCCCTGGGTCCCTGGTCCCCTGCAGTGGGGGACAGGTGAGGAAGCACCTTGGGCAGGAAGCAGGAGCCAGCTGTCCTGCTCTGGCCCCTCTGGCGGTGCAGCTGACCTCAGCCCCCACCTAGCCGTTCGCTCCTCATATTGCTGGCAACGATGGGGCTAGGCCTGGGCACTTGGCCATGGACAAGTGAAGCCTGAGACTGTCCCCAGGCACTCCAAGTGTGCACGGTGAGGACAGAGACAATGACAGCTGAGAAAGGCAGGGAACCCCTGTCCCGCTGCCTCAGCCAGGAAAGATGTAACTGAGCTGGGGCCGGGGTCCTGGGGTGGAAATCAGGACACCTGGGTGCCACAGCTCACCCCAGACTCCTCCACTCTGGGCCTTGATTCAGGGCTGAGGCACTGGGGAGGCATGGACGAAATTAGAGCAGGGCTGAGATGCCTAGGAGCTGCTGGAACCCCAGCCAGGGAAAGCTGGGGGCGGGAGGGTGATGCTGGCATTCCAGGCAGAGCTTTGGGGCAGCCCTGGGACCCAAAGGCCTGCAGGTACCCCAGGACGACTCTGGGACTGAGGGTGGGCAGTGACAGTGGCCAGAGTTGGGTCCAAAGCAGCCCCACCAGGCCCAGCTCCTCCAGGAAGCACCCAGGAGAAAATGGCCCCCAGGTCCTCTTGGGTCTGGGCCTGGGCCTGGGCCTGGGCCTGGCTCCACTCTGCCCCTCTGCAATCTGGGCAAGGGTCTCGGTGGGACTTCCCCCTTCCCCTGGGCCTGGCTGTGAGAGGGCCAGTCCCCTTCCAGCCCACAACAAGGGTTGGACACAGTAACAAGTCTTTCCTGATCACCCCCTGGAGGCAGTGTCCTCCAGACAGCCGGGACATAGCAGGGTCCTGCCCCGATGACAGGGGATGAAGTGTGCTAGGAATGGCAGCCTCACTGTGTGGGAAGGGAGAGTGTGTCTGCGGGTGTTGTCTAGGAACGTGCCCAGCATCCCTGGCTCTCCACATTCCTCTCCCCGACCGCCCATAGTGCAGGGCAGGCCGCTCTCCTTGTCTTATTGTTGCTAAAGACAGCAACCACAGGGCCCACCGAGTGTCGAGGGTCGGATGGCCAGGCCTGGCTGGCTGTGCTGTGCACTCCCACGGGAATGCTGGCCCCACTTCCCAGATGAGGAGACTGAGGCTCAGAGAGGAGGAGGGGCCTGCCGAGGTCCTGGGAGTGGGAGGGGTGCTTATGGGGCCACTGGCCTGCAGGGTGCCCAGTGGGGATACAAGCCCCATCCCACTCCACAGCTGACGCCCCTCTAAGGTCTCAGGCAGGGCCCGTAAGATGCTGCTGAAGGCTGAAGACAGTCCACAACCACATGCACAGAGACAGACAGAGACACAGAGACACACAGAGACACAGAAACACACAGAGACACAGAGAGAGAGAGAGACAGAGACATGCACAGAGACACATAGAGAGACAGAGACACATACAGACACACAGAGACATGCAGAGACAGAGAGACAGAGACACACAGAGAGACAGAGACACACAAACGCTTTGCCCGAATTGCAGCCCTAGGTTGGGGTGCTCAGACCCCACTCTTGCTCTGGGTCTGGGCAGGCCCTCTTCCTGAGCACCCCCCGCTGGGCCCCTTCTCTCCGCTCCATGCCCCCGCCCTCCTCAGGCCTCTGGGGCTCCGTCGGGCTGAAGATGGGCTCGGGTCCCAGTCGGCCCCAGCTCTGCCAGCCCGCCCCTCCACCTCCGCCTGCCCGTGGACCCCGGCCGCCCGAACGCCCCTTTCTGCTCCTTGCTTTGAGACTCTGTCCAGGCCCTCCTCCCCAGAGCAGACACTGAGCCCTTCTCGCGCTCCAAGGACCTGTGGCACACGCCAGCCTCATTTTCCCCGTCTGCCATCAGAAATGCTCTGTGGCCTCTGAGGTGAAGAACCCTCAGGGACCCTGGTTTAGGCCTAGCGGGGGCCCTGCCCACCATCTGACGAATCCTTGGTGAAGTGGGGCCAGGCATGAATTTGGGCCGGGTGCGTGTGCTGGAGGGGTGCGGGGTTATACCTGGGGTAAGTCCCTGTGGGGGTGTCTGTGAGCCCACGTAGGTGTAGGCAGGGCCTGGGGAGGGTGCCCGCGAAGATGGGGGAGCCCCGGCCCACACTGTCCCCTCCTGGCAGGATGGACCCCTTCAGGGACACACTGCAGAGGCTGCGGGAGTCCTTCAGCGCGGGGCGCACGCGGCCGGCTGAGTTCCGGGCCACCCAGCTTGAGGGCCTGGGACGCTTCCTGCGGGACAACCAGCAGCTTCTGCAGGAGGCGCTGGCTCGGGACCTGCGCAAGGTGAGTGAGCAGGGCAGGCGGGCAGGGGTGGGGGGAGATGGGCAGGGGGTGGGGGGAGGAAGGGCTGGCTGCGTCCTTAAGTCACTCCCGCTGATTTCACAGACCCTTCCCTGACGTTCTAACTCATCAAACCTGTCAGGCAGTTTCCACAGCTGTACTGATGGGGAAACTGTGGTGTGTGGGGATTAAGTCTCTTGCCCAACGTTCCACGGCCAGGAAGTGGCAGAGCCAGAATTGGAGCACAGATCATACGGCCAGGGCCTGTGACCTTAGCACTCACTGTGCAGTTCCCAGGGGACCGGCTATTCTGCCCCGGAGACTGTCTCCATATTGCCAGTGGGGACCACTGGGGACCCAGTCCCCTTGCAGTAGACCCCCTCCGGGACCTGCCCTGAGCCTGACCCCCGAATTCCACCCCCACCGAAGTCAGCCTTTGAGGCGGATATATCTGAGTTCCTCATGTGCCAGACGGAGGTCACACTAGCCCTCAAGAACCTGCACACCTGGATGAAGGACGAGCCAGCGACCAAGAACCTGGTGAGGCCGCCGGCCGAGGGAGGGGTGGTGGCAGTGCCCAGGGGCAGCTCCAGCCCAGGCCCCTTCGCCACCTCTGACCCGGGGTGAGTCACTAACTTTCTCGGGACCTCCATCTCCTGATGGGGACTGCCCTGTGGGGGTGGGCTGCGGAGTGGTCCTCCACAGGGTCCCACCATCCATCCTGCACCCCAGCTCATGCAGCTGAGCTCTACCTTCATCCGGAAGGAGCCCTTCGGCCTGGTGCTCATCATCACCCCCTGGAACTACCCCCGAACCTGACCCTGGTGCCCCTGGTGGGCGCCCTCGCAGCAGGTAAGGAGGGGACCCTGAGCCCCACGCCCTCCTGTCCCATAGCCCTTCCCAAAGGGGCCCCCCGCATTCTGTCCCTGTAGTGCCCCCAGCCTTGTGTGCCCTGCCTGTGACTCTGCTCTCTGAGTCCGGCCTCTGGGTCTCCCCCTTCTGCCTCCACAGGGAACTGTGTGGTGCTGAAGCCATCAGAAATAAGCACAAGCACAGAGAAGGTCCTGGCCGAGGTGCTGCCCCAGTACCTGGACCAGGTAAGGGCCACTCTGCCCCCTCAGTGCCCTGCGTGCCACACCTGTGCCCCTGCCGGCTGGGGAGGTCCAGTTGTCCCTGGGGCCTGTGGTGTCCCCTGAGCCACCCGTCCTCCCTTGCAGAGCTGCTTTGCTGTGATGCTGGGCGGGCCCGAGGAGACGGGGCAGCTGCTGGAGCACAAGTTTGATTACATTTTCTTCACGGGTGAGGGTGACCCCCGCAGAGTCCTGGGGAGAGGGGTGATGTTGGAGAGTAAGGTCAGGAGGGAGCAGCCAGTGGCCAGTGGTGGGGAGTGTCCCAGATGGCAATCAGTCCAGGCAGGTGGGCTGGGCCTCTGGGTCTTGGAGGCTTGGAGGAGTGGGATCCTGGGGTGGCAGGGCCAGGGGCAGATCCAGTGGGTGAGGCAGGATGGGCCAGAGGGGTGGTGCCTGGACCATCTGGCTGAGGCCAGTTGAGGATGGGAGTCAACTCCCATGTCCCCAGGGAGCCCTCGAGTGGGCAGGATCGTCATGACCGCAGCCGCCAAGCACCTGACACCGGTCACACTGGAGCTGGGGGGCAAGAACCCCTGCTACGTGGATGACAACTGCGACCCCGAGACCGTGGCCTTTTTCCGCTACTTGAACACGGGCCAGACCTGCGTGGCCCCCGACTACGTGCTGTGCAGCCCCGAGATGCAGGAGCGGCTGCTGCCCGCCCTGCAGAGCACCATAGCCCGCTTCTTCGGCGAAGACCCCCGGAGCTCCCCGAACCTGAGCCGCATCATCAACGACAAGCATTTCCAGAGGCTCCAGGGCCTGCTGGGCTGCGGCCGCGTGGCCATCGGGGGCCAGAGTGACCAGAGCGATCGCTACATCGGTGAGTTGCGTTCTTCCCGCCCCCCAGGCTAAGGCCCCCCCTCGCTGGAGGCACAGCCGGGCCCCGAGTCTGGGCCCAGCCCGAACCTTTGGGCCTCAGACTCCCACGGCCCCGCTGCCAGAGCCCCGCCTGGTCCCCGGCTTCGGTGCTGCGACACCGTGACGCTAGCAGTCCCCATGCCACGGTCTGCGTCCGTGACCCCATAATGCCACACTCTGGCCCCAGCTCTGATTCTCTAAGCTGGGACCCCAGCATTCCAGGGCCCCGAGTGAGTGCTCTGATTCCAAACTTCCGTCCTACGATCCGGGGCTCCCCGGGGCTCCCCGGGGCTGTGACCCCAGGTCCTCTGAGCCTGCGTGCTGAACTCCAGCACCTGCCCTGAGTGTCTGCTGTGCTGTGATTACAAAGCGGCCCCTTCTCCCAGGCCACATGGCACAGCCGGCAACGCTGCTGCTCTAACAGGTTGGGACCTCGGACTCCAGGGGTCTAAGATCCCGTCACCCCCCGACTGTAAGACCGAGGCTGAGGGGTTCTCTGGGCCCCGTAGGCCCTGGTCCCCTGGTCAGGCTGGGGAACCCCTCACGGTCACTTCTCAGGGGCTCTGGGGAGACTCCCCTCCCTAGAACCTCCCTGAGCCTGGAGCCCTGGGTCCCTGGGCGCTGCCGGAGGCCCCACCCCGGGGCTGAGCCGTCCCCTGTGCCTGGACAGCACCCACGGTGCTGGTGGACGTGCAGGAGACGGAGCCGGTGATGCAGGAGGAGATCTTCGGGCCCATCCTGCCCATCGTGAACGTGAGGAGCCTGGACGAGGCCATCGACTTCATCAACCGCCGGGAGAAGCCCCTGGTGTTGTACGCCTTCTCCAAGAGCAGTGAGGTGGGGGCTCAGGCAGGGCTGGGGCAACAGAGGGGCTGGAAGTGGGGCAGACCCGCTACCTCCCCTCTCACAGTCCACCCTGCGAGGGTTAGGGCAGCAGATGATGCTTCTAGTGTGACTATAATCCAGGACACCTGGATGTCGGCTCCCTGCTCAAGGGCACCTGGCAGAGAGGGTTCGGGGAGGGCCAAAAACCTGCCAAATGCGTGGCTCGCCAGCTGTCTGCCGTGGCTGGGACAGCCTCTGCCAGGACAAGAAGGACATTTTCCTATCTGGCTGCCCAGAGAGCCCCCTTTTCCTAAACTGTGCAAAGGTTCTGGATGGGCAAGCAGAGACCCCGGAGCGGGGATGGTGGCAGAGCCAAGCTGGGACCTGACAGGCCGAGCCAGGCTGCGCACAGTGGGGCCTGCGCTCTACTGCCACTTGCCACCCCCACTGCCATTTCTCACGGTCATGGGCTCCCCTCAATGTGGAAAGTACATGGCAGGGGGAGCCCTCTTCTCTGCTGACGACCCCCGATCTGGCCTCCTCCACTCCTCCCAGGTAGTGAACGAGATGCTGGATAGGACCAGCAGCGGCACTTTCGGAGGCAATGACGGCTTCACCTACTTGACTCTGCCATCCCTGCCACTTGGGGGCGTCGGTGAGTCCTGCCTTCCTCCACCCTCCAGCCCCCACCCCCAGGGAAGCCTGGGGTGACACCCGAGAACCAGGAGGCCCAGTTTTGCCTTCACTCACAGTCCAACCTTGATCCAGGTCCTGGGCCTCTCAAGGCCTCAGTTTCCCTATCTGCAAAGTGGCTCTTAGAATGGCCTGGCTTTCTCGGAACTCCTTGCCAGTGGTGGGCTCTGCCTGGGCAGTGGGCTGCTGCTGAGGCGGGGTGGGCTGCCCGGCCTCATACCTTCACTTCCGTGCCCATGCAGGCAACAGCGGGATGGGAAGATACCACGGCAAGTTCTCCTTCAACACCTTTTCCCACCACCGCGCCTGCCTGCTCTCCCCCCCAGGCCTGGAGAAGCTCAACGATATCCACTACCCGCCCTATCCTGACTGGAAACAGCGGCTAGTACGCTGGTCCTTGGGCCCCCAGAGCTGTACCCTGCTGTGAGCACTCTGCCCACCTCCAGTGCCCCACTCTCACCACCCCTCTGGCCTGCTGCTGCCAAGATGCCCAGTGGTCTCTGAAAGGTGGAGTCTCTTGTCCTGGACTGCAAAGATCCTGCTCCTGGGATCTTGGACCCCTGACTGGGCAGGACCTCTGGGCCATTGGGCCAGCGCCTTTCAAGGCCCAAGTCCCCTCTGCAGCCTTCTGACAGATTTGTCGACCCTCTGCTTGGATATGTCTGGTGACGGAGAACTCATCCCCTTGCAAGGTTGGGCAGCTCTTGTGTTTAGAAAGGACTCCCTTGTGTCAGATCCATAAATAGGCTCCCAAAATACAGAGCAATTTCAAACAGCTCCATTCACATCTGGTTTGGGCAACTGGGTTTGTCTGACCTGAAGTGATCTGATCTTGAACCCAGATGCGGCCAATTGGTAGTGGCTGCCTGACATGTATCACTGACAAAGCCTCTGACGCTGTGTGTGGAATCAATAGGAAGGTGTACAACAGTTGATCAGTGGTGCCTGCTATGGGCACAGGCCGGGGATGTCACATGCTGGCCACATCTGTCACCCCTGCCCTAGGCTATCGGAAGGAGGTCAGGGTCGGCAGAATCTAAATCTCATCATTTCATCTGACACATGGGGGAACCGAGGTCTGGAGATGGGACAGAGTTTATACAGGAAAGCAGGGTAGAGCTGAGAGATGGTGGGCTTTCCTGAGAGATGTGGAGTCGGGGATCAGGAAACAGCATATCTGGTCCATTGTGACCAGCCTCTTGTTCTTTCCCTAGTCCTCACCCTGGGAGCCCAGTTCCAATCTTGCTTCAATGGGCTCCTCACCCCTCAGAGCCATGGGAAAACTGGGCTAGTGGCCTGAGGCTGAGGGCAGAAGGGGAGGTATGATCCTTCTGCCCACCCTGGGAAGTGTTGGGGATGGTTGACTCCAAGATGGTACAGGATGGAGTCAAAGGAGGTGCTTGCCAGGGGTTTTTGATGAATGAAGGAAAGAATAAGGAAGTGAGAGGATAGATGGAAAGATGGATGGATGGATGGATGGATAGATGGATGGATAGACAGGTGAGTGGGTGGATGGATGGGAAGGTGAGTGGGTGGATGGACAGATGGATGGATGGATAGATAGGTGAGTGTGTGGATGGATGGGAAGATGAGTGGATGGATGGACAGATGGATGGATGGATAGATAGGTGAGTGGGTGGATGGATGGGAAGATGAGTGGATGGATGGACAGATGAATGGATGGATGGATAGGTGAGTGGGTGGATGGATGGAAAGATGAGTGGATGGATGGACAGATGAATGAATGGATGGATGGATAGGTGAGTGGGTGGATGGATGGAAAGATGAATGGATGGATGGATAAATGGATGGATGGATGGATGATACAGTGGGTGGGTAGAAGGGCAAGTGAGTGGTTGAGTGAATGGACGAGTAAGATGGATAGTTGGGTGAGTGGATGGGTGAATTGATAGATGGGTAAGTGGCCCAGGTAGAAGCTGAGTGACCAATGAGCCTGGGTCTAAGAGAGTCCCTCTCTCCCCACCCCTGCCCAGGGAAGTTGCTTCGTCAAAATAACCACTGGGCTGAAAAGAGAGAGCCAGGAGGTTTGAGAAGAATCAGAGGGTCTCCCAGCCATGGTCTGGGCAGTGGGTCCAGCGAGTAAAAAACAAAAGATACAGTTCATTGAAGACGCAAGTGTTTCCCTGCCCAAACCACACCCAGTCTTGCTCCCTTTGCCTTCTTTGGCCATTAGTTGCTGTGGTTGAGATAGGGGACAAAACCTCCAGGAAAACGTGGCTCCGTGGGGCCACCAGGGCAGGAGAGCAGTCCCAGAATGACTTCATAACGGCATCTGCAGTCAAGATGGCTTTTTCCCCACTCTCCGTTGGGCCCATACACCTCGCCCCTTTCCTGCCCTGAGGCAGTTGGCGCAGGGGTCAAGGGCACAGGGTCTGGACTCAGGCAGACTTGGCTTTGAATCCTGGCTCTGTGATAGACAGGCTGTGTGATCCTGGGCATGTGTGAGCCATCTCTGAGCCTCAGCTATGGAGTAGAGCTGTCAGTAGTACCAGCTTCACGGGCATCTGGGGAGGATGAAAGGAGACTGTGCATGGTGAGCCCCCGCCCCGCACCCCTAAAATCTCTATAATGGGTGTTCTTAGTCCAGTTAACGGTAGAGAAACTGAGGCTCAGAGAGACCAAGTTTTTAAGTTTTGAAGCTTCTGAGGCTTGGTTGCATTCACACCCGGTCTGTCCACTGCAAAGCCCACAGGCGGAGCAGACGTCTTGTCCTTGGGGCCCAGAGAGGGTAGAAAACTTCCCAGGGTCACCCAGAGAAAGCTGGGGCCCTGTCTCCTGGAGTCCAGCCATGAGCTGGGCTCTGCACCGGCGTGCCCAGCATCCTGCTCCTTGAGATGGCAGCCTCTCACCTGATTGGTGGAGCAGAGTCACGTGACTGCATCCTAGCTGCAAGGGAGACTGGGAAGCAGGTTCTTCCTTCTACCCCAGGGAGGCTGCTCAAGAGAGGCCACGGAGTCACAAGTGTCCCCTATTCACTCCATCCTTCGCAGTCCCAGCCTTTCGCTCTTGCGGTCGTGGCTGACGGGGCCCAGTCCTGGAGGCAGTGTCCTCTGGACACGGAACAAACTGTCCTGCTTTTTACGACCCAGCAATACAGAGGTTCCGACAGCCTTGAACCCTCTGCCTTTGCTCAGGCTGTTCTCCCCTCCCAGGACGCCCTCCCTTCCCGCTCCAACCCAGCCCCAGCCCCACGCAGGCACTGCCTCCCCCAGGAATCCATCCGCAGTTCCAGACACGTCTCCGTGGCCCTCATCCGGCTCGATAGCACGCTACGCTTACCCGCCATGGTCCCACCACCTAGGAAGCTTGGGTTCACGTGCCCCCACTGCCACAGCGTCCCTGGGGACCTGTGGGCAAGTCCCTTAGCTTGTCCGAATCCCCATTTCTTATCGTGTAGAATGGGGCTCCCCCCCGCCTCTTAGAGTTGGTGTGTGGGTTAAGTGGGATCACACGTGTCTGGGACCCAGGGGTCCCCACTCCAGGATGCAATGGAGTCCAGACTCTTATGTACGTCGAGCCAGTGTCGGGCACAGAGGCCCTGCCGCAGGGGCCCCCCCCCAGCCACACACCTCCCAGAGCTTCTCAGGGCTCCGTCATGGCCTCGAGGTCTGTGACAGCAGCCTCTCCTTGTCCAGCAGTCACCACATCCTGCTGCCCCAAGGCTTGGGGGCAGCCCCAGGGTCCCTCAGGGCTCAGCTTCAGCCATAGGTGTGGGTTCCACTGTGGAACCAGCCACAGTCCAGAGTGGGCCATTAAGAAAAAGGACACTATGGGAAAGTCCTCCTCACCTCCCCACCCCAGGACACCAGGGCTGTAGGAAGAAGTGGGCAGGGTGGTCCTAAGGGGGACGGAGGAACAGGCTGCGATGAGGGTGCTGTGAAAGGCCAGCAGAGGGGGCGGGTGAGCAGAGGCCAAAGCGGGCTCAGAGCCTGGGCAGGATGGTGGACGCTCAGGCAGGGCGCTCCAAAGCGGCTGGACGGTGGCCTTCAGGCGTGGCTCCCAGGTCACGTGACTCTCCTGGGCCAAGTCTTACAGTGTTGTGGGTCAGTTCAGGTTCTGACCCTTCTCTGGGCCTGTTTCCCCACCCGCAGTGAGGAATTTGGACCCACGGTGCCTCCGCGCCCCATCATGCCAGGGTCTGCTGTGCGTGTGCCTGTTTCCCAAGCTTGTGCTGGAAACTTTGCTCCTTCATTCCTCACAGCTGCCGGGCTGGGAGAGAGCCTCGCTCTCATTTCACAGGCAGCAGCCAAGGCTCAGAGAGGCCACTGACTCTCCCCAGGTCACACAGCCTGTCAGGGATAAGTCAGAGTCAAGGGCTCTGAGGCAGTACACATATCGGTACACACAACACAGACGTGAATACACAGATCCTCAGACACGGAGATGCTGGCGTGTACACACATACATGCACACACACACACGCACTCTGTCAGGCCTGGGGGCTGCTGTTTCTGGGAGCTCTTGCCCCAGCTCCATTCTATAAACACCCTCTGAAACAGGGTCGCTGGACCCCAGCTAAGGGAAGTGAAGCTTTCCAGGACCCCCAGCTGCTGTCCTCTCCAGAGCTGGGGGCCTAGCACCCCCTGGCAGGCAGCACCCTGGCCCCCAGGAACCCCCAAAATAGCCAGGACTGCCAAGCAAGGACTTCCTTCCTTTCCAAGAGGCCCAGCACCGAGTCAGCAGAAAGCCAGCCCCCCGGGGTGGGCCCCTGGAACAAAGACCACAGCTTCTGACTTGGAAAGCAGGGCCATGAGACCCCCGCCCCGTGCAGGGCAGGGAGCAGGGACTGGGAGGGGGGCAGACACAGGCTCACCCACTGACTCGCTCCACCACCACCGCCAAGTCCTTCCACCTCGAGCCCAGGAGTGAGTGAGGGCTGCCCAGCCTCTGCGGCTTCCAAGGCCCTCCTTTTGCTGAGGCTCCAGATCCCGGGAGGGGGTGGCCTCTGGAGGGAGCTGTTAGGGAGCCGCAGCCCCTCGGTGACCCAGGCTCACCACCCCCACCCCCCACCCTCTTAAGGTGCCAGCTGCCCTGATGGGAACCACAATCCCACAGTCAACGGGGGGAGCACAGGAGAGCGGAGGGGGCCCAGCCTTCCTCGTGAGTTGTGAGTGATCTGAGCAGTTGCAAAGAGGGCTGGCCTGGGGGGGCCCAGCCACCGGAGCCCTGAGCTGGTGGGCCTGGTTCTGGAGCAGGGCTGGACCAGCCTGGGAGGCCCAAGTCTGGTGGTGAGGAAGGCCTGGGACCAGATGCCTGGAGGAAGCCCAACCTCAGGGCCCCAGGGCCTGGCGTACAGTAGGCACTGGGTGACCGGACTGGACAGTTCACTGCCCGGCTCTGCCTCTCTCCTCAGGGACCTCTGGACCATCCTCAGCTCGCCCGCCCCCAAGAGCTGAGCTGGGGGAGGGACAGGCTCCCGGGCCGGGTGCAGGGGGCTTCGCCTCCATCCTTCCCCCTTGAGGGCAGCAGGGAGAGGATGGGCCCAGACTGGATGCCCCTGGGTTCCAACTCCAGCCCCACCTCTAGTGTCCTGTGTGCCCCTGGGCGTTCTGCCTGAGCCTCAGTTTCCACCTCCCATAAAATGGGTCTGAGGGTCATTTCCAAAACAGAGCAGCTGAGGCATCTGTGTTACACCTGTCCCTGGAAACGACTCATAATACTGGATGAAATCGTTTGAAATTTTGTTTAAAGCATCAAAGAGCCATAACGCTGGGATGCCACAGATCATAGCCCTTCATGGTCAGGGTGGCCTGGGAGTGACCCTGGCCCCCTGGGGGCTGCAAGGACAGAAGCATGTTGCTGAGGGGGTGGGGAGAGGGGGACACCTCATCTGGATGGCCACCAAGGCTGATGCCTCAATAAGTAACTTGCAGGGTCCTGGCGGGGGCGGGTGGGGGGTGGCCCACGGCTCAGTCAGCGGCATGAGGCTGGATTCCAGGCCCGCCCCTTTGGCAGGACACCCGTGCAGTCAACAGCCTGTACCTGGCTGCCCTCTGGGGCTCTCTCTGGGGGGTTTGTCTTCATCCCAAGCCTTCAAGGGTCCCTGGAGGTAATTTTCCAAGGCTAAGTGCAGCTCTCCAGTGGGAGCCCTACCTGGCCCCGGGGGGTGGAGCTGTCCCTTCCCCAAAGAGGGACAGAGGGTAAGGATAGGAGTCTGGCTGCAGGACCTGAACTCGACATGGCAGCGGCCAGTAACAGTGCGGGGTGGAGCTGGGCAGGGAGACCCCAGTGCCCCTGACCTCTGGGTTGCCCTCAGCCACACGCCTGGCCCCCTGCTCTCCGCCAGCGTGGCACAGACACTTCCTGCCTGGGGACCTCCAGGCATGTAAATACCCCCGGCCTAAGAGCTGCTCACCCCAGCCCTGGAGGCCCAGGAAGCCCTGATCTGCATCTGCAGGTCTTCAACCCCCGCCCCCCTCCAGGCCCCTGCACCAGCTCCGAGGAACATGTGGCCCCTCAGCCTGGCCCTGAAGTCCTCACCTCAGACGCCCCCTCTGGCCACCAGTAGTGCATACCCCTCTGCCTAGGATACTCATTCCTCCCTTTTCAGTTGGGAGAAATCCAGATTGATATCACCTCCTCCAGGAAGCCCATCCTGACTCCAGCTGGTCAGGGCCTCCTCTGGGTTCCTCAGACTCCGGGCTTGCCTCAGATCAGCCCCACAGGCTGTGTTTACTTGTCTTGTGCCCCAACCACTGTTCACACTTTTCTTCAGTTGATCTTTGATGAGCCCCTTCTCTGAGCCAGGCTCTGGCCAGCTCACGTGAGAGAATGGGAAATAGGACCGAGGCGTTGTCCTCAGCTTACTGGGGGAGACGGAGGAAGAACCCAGCAACCACAACCCAGGAGGTTAAATGCAGGGGTGGGGGTGACACAAAGCATCTCACCTGGCCAAGGGCAGTCAGGGAGGGCTTCCTGGAGGAGGCAGTGTCTCAATCAAGTGGAGAAGGAGTTAACCAGGTGAAGAGAGGAAAGGAGTTTCCCGGGAAAGGCCCAGCAGGTGCAAAGGCCTGGAGGTGAGACCAGCACGATGCTTGGAAGTGTGGCTGGAGTGAAAGCTGATGCGGCGGCAGGCAAGGCCAGGTGGAGGGTTCGGACTTTACGGGGGCAGTGAGGAGCCAGCGAGGGTCCTGAGCAGGGCCAGCCACAGCAGCCCTAAGGAAGAGCCAGCGAGCTGCTCTGACTCTCCTGCAGCGTCTCAGGGGCGCTCTCCCATTAAACGGCTGATCCCTGACCGAGACCTTCGGGGCCTGATACTCCATTCCTGCCCCTGCAGAGGTTCCGGCCCTGGCCAGTGCTGCCCTTCTGCCCTACCCAGCCCCTCCCCCCAGGCCGGGCAGCTCCTGAGGCCTCAGCTCCTGTCCCTTGTCTCAAGGTCACACCCACTGACTTGTCTTGGGGGTCCCGCTGTCTGACTCTGACCGTGACCCTTGGCCCGGGTTCTTCACCTTGACCCCCTGCCCCCTTCCTGCTTGCCCCAGCTTCAGGACTCTATCTCCACGGCCCCTGCTCGGCGTCCCAGCCCGGAGCTGCAGCAGCCTCAGCTCCTGCCCCACAGAGCAGGGAAAAGGTTCGCCCTCCAGCCCACAGACACAGCGGGACCAGAGTCTGCACTGTGGGCGGGGAGGGAGGGGACGGCCACAGGGCCTCCAGGAAGGGGCTTCAGCAAGCCCACTGGGCACCTGTGTGGACAGAGAGGTGGGGGCAGAGACTTCTAAGACGATATGAGGCCCAAGGCAGGGACAAGGTGCTGAGAGCAGGGGTGGGAGTGTCAGGTGGGCTTCCCGGAGGAGGTGGTTGCCAAGCTGGGCCTTGGAAGAATGTGAAGGGTTCAGACAGAGAGAGAAGGTGGGGAAGGAATTCCAGGCAGCCCGAGCTGCCCTGCCGTGTCTTCCAGAACAGCTGTCCAGGAAGAAGAGTCACAACGGAACTCAGGAACTCAGCAACTCAGTGGCCAAGAATGGAACAGGTGGGCCGCCACCTGGGGGGAAGGGGGCGGGGCTGGGTGATGGGCGGGGCCTGGGGTCTGGAGCACCTCCATCTGGGGCACCTGCCTGACCCTTGTTCTCCGGATCCCCAGCCCTGGAGCTGGGTCCCCAGCCTCAGGGCGTGCCGCCGGCCGAGGATGAGAGCCCTAGTGGCTGCAGCTCTGGACGTCACTGAGCTCTCCAGCCAGGGCAGCACCCCGCCGGGGGACTTGCCGGTGGTGGGGTGGGGAGGGAAGCGAGGCCCAAAGAGGAGAGGCCGGGCTCACACAGCCAGTCTCCCACACAGGCACGCCCTTTCCTGCCTTCCAGATGGAAACCTACAGACTCCTGAGTTCCGTGGACTTCCCCCGCCCGGGGGCCGGGGACCTGGCAGGCACCGTGCATCCTCAGCTGCAGGTGTGGCAGGGGGAGGGGACTCCTGGGTCACAGCCTTGGAGGTGTCAGGGGAAACTGAGGCCCAAAGGGAGGGACCACAGGTGCCTCCCACAAGATCACCAGCACCTTAGAAACAGAAGCAGGAGGACAGGAGCCCAGGCTCCCTCCTGCCTCCCCGGGAACCTCACGCTCAGGCCTGGAACTCGGGGCCACAGTGATCGTCACAGCACCCATGGAAGGCACAAGGGGACTCCTCAACAGTCTGGACACGGCTCTCCTGGCCACAGAAGGCAGAGGGAGGGCGGGGGTGTGGGGCAGGCAAGCCCCAGTTCCTCTGCTTGGAGGCGCAAATACAGAGCCCTCTCTTTATTTTCCGGTTAATTTCCGATTAACTCCTTGAGCAACCCTCTGCACGTTAGTTAGCAGAGAGTCCAGCGTCTCCTTCTCCAGGCCTCCCCTTCCTGAATGTTCCCGGAATCGCGCGGTCCTGCTTCTACCCACCAGAAGGAGGTTGGGAAGAATGGGCGGGACACCAGCTGCTGCTCTGTTGCTGCCACATGGGGTCGCTGTGGGCCACAATCCACGCCCTCCGTGGCCCTTGTGTCCTGCAGGGCCCAGGCGGCCGGGGCGCCCCAGCCTCCTTAGTAATGGTACCCCAAGCTCCCCACCTGGCTTTCAGAGATGAGAGGGGCTTCAGAGGGGGCACCCCCTCACCAGTGACCAGCCAGAGCCTCCTCCTCCATGATGAGTCCCTGTGGGCCAGCAACTTGCCAGTGGAACTCCAGTGGAACTCCAACTTCCCCTCGGATCAAAGGGGACCAAGGAATGCTAAAACTCTGCAAGGATGGGTTTCTGTCTCAGGGGTCTCCGCCTCCTTCCTCCAGGGAGGACCACCTCTATGAGAGGGAGTCCACCGTGTCCCCCAGGTCCATCAGCGAGGCTGCCCACTCTGAGAAGGGCATTGCCTTCGTCCAGACTGAGCAGCTCACATTCTCCATGCCCACCCTGCCCACACTGGCCCCCGCTGCCACCCACCATCCCTAACCCGGGCCACACCTGCCCAGCCTCAGCCCTCTCATCTGAACAATGGGTCCTGAGGCACAATCCCCAGCCCATGGCCCTTCGCCACCCACTCTGTACCATGTTCCTTGCCACCCCTCACCCCTCCATGCCTCAGTTTCCCATTCTATAAAATGGAAGATTTCCAGGGTCCATGGCTTGTATCCTCTGTCCTGCGTGGCCCCTCTCTGTGACCTCAGGGTCTGGGGCAGGTCTGGCCCAGGGTGGTCTTGGACATGCTGTGTGTCCTGGGGCCAGTGGTGGCTATCTCCGCACCCATGCTTGTCCATCAGGGCCCAGAGGGAAGATCCCATAATGTGTGGGGAACTTGGAAAAAGACTGTCCTGGGGCCAGCAGAGGGACTTCCAGAGGAGACGGTGACCCAGACGGGGGCCCCCCAACCCCCTACACTCCCAGCGCCAGAGAGTCAATCTGGGAGAGCAGAAGCATGTACCCACGTATGTGCACATGTGTGTGGGTATCCGTGTGTGTCCCTGCCCCAGGTGCTGTGTGTGTGTGTGTACGTCTTTGCACATGCGTGTTTCCGAGAGCCTTAGTACCTGGGGCGTTCTTCTGGGGGGATCTGTATGTGGCCGGCACATAGCCCAGCATTTCCAGGTGTGTAATGAGGCTGCAGCCCATGGGGGCTCACAGCTGGGGCAGGCGTGCAGCTCAGCAAGGCTCTCCCCACCGAGCACGGCCCGTCCAAGCACGGGGACGCAGGGAGGCAGTGTCTCAGCTTGCGGAAGAAAGAGGTCCTCCCAGGGAGGCCAAGCCCCCAGCACCAGCCCAGGACTCTGCATCAGCATCGGTGGGGAGCAGACACGGGGTCTGCTGCTGGAGGCCCCTCGGTCCTGACCCTCTCTCCAGCGTGTACACAGCAGGGCTGAGCTGGGCAGGGTGGGACAGCATCCGGATGCAGCCTCACACTGTCCACACCACCCGACAGCAGGGCTGGTGGCACCCAGGGCGCCGTCCTCTCTGGGCATCACTCCCCGGCCCCTGTGTCCCCCTGCCTGACTCATCCATCTCCCTGCGGCCACGGCTGCCTCGCCGCCTCCTGCTATTGAGCAGCGAGATGAGAAGGTGTGAAGGATATGGGGGCACCAGGGACGGGCTGGCAGGCAAGATGGATGAGGGGGCAGGGGGCCAGCAGGGGCCTCGGGCAGGAAGGGCAGGCCAGCCGGGGAAGAGGCTGTGCAGGGAGGTGTGTGCATGGCGCGTGTGTGTAAGACAGACAGTGTGTGTATCCGTGCATACAGGAGCTTGTGCATGTGCACACGAACGGTGGTGGGTCCTTGGGCCTTCAGTTTGTCTGTGTGCCCGTGGGGTGGGGTGTCAGTGTGCTCATGCACCTGTGTGTGTGTGTGGGGGGTTTCCCATCACACAGAAGAAAGGCATGTGCAACACATGTGCATGTGCACGCACACACACACACACACACACACACACACACACCAGGAGTCAATAGAACCCTGGGCTGGCCCGCCCCTGGGAATCTGGGCTCAGGGGGAGCCACTGGGACTGGTGTGGAGCCTCCACGCGACTCCATCCTCTCTCCCATTTCCCCTCCGCCCCCCTGCGGCTTCTGGGACAGGGTGGCACGGCCACACCTCACTGGGTGGCCCCGGGGAGCCCTGGGATCCTCCATCACAAGCACAGAGAACCGCCTCCCCATCTTGCCTGGCAGCAAACCCCAGAGCGGGTGCAGCCTTCCTGCCCCCGCCAGGCATGGGTCTGTGCCCGGGTCAGCCCACCCTCTCCCGACAGGACCCTCCCGGCTCGCAGGCTGGGATCTGAGGCACAGGGGACTGAAGCAGTGGCATCTCTGAGCTGAAGAGAGGAGAGGTCTGCCCGTGGCCTGAGGTTCTGGGATGTCACACTCCGAGAGAGGCAGCTCCCCTGACCCTCAGCCCCCGGTGCCCCCTCTTAGGTATGGGTCTCTGGCAACCCCATGTCCCCAGTGCTAGACTCTGGAGGAGGTGTGTGTAGGGGGGGTCCCACCCACCTTGGGGACCCCAGTTGAGCATGCCCAGCCTGGCCTGGGGTGCTCCTGCCTAGTACTCTGGCCTGGGGGCTAGCCTGAGATGCTCCCTCCCAGAACGGGCTAACGTGAGATCTAGGCAGATGCCCCTCCCTGGGCCATATGACAGGGATGGAATGACCAACAGCACTCTTAACTATGAGCTACCAGCTTCAGGGGATCCCAGCCTCCTGCCTGCCCGACCAGTGATCCGTGTGTGCCCTGAATGCCCAGCCCCGGACAGGCAGGGACAGCCTGGAGAAGGCGTTGGTCAGGCTGGAGAAAACAGACAGATACATGGGCAGAGCAGACACCTGCACCAGAGGTCTCTGACCTGGGCCAGTCTCCTGCCCTGCGGGGACTATGTAGGCATCGTCACCCAGGATGGGGACAGCTTACTGCTCCCAGGCTGGGCCAGCCGGTCCCAGACAGAAGAGATTATGCACTTAGTTCAGTTGGGGAAACTGAGGCACAGGGACTGTCAGGAGGACCTGGCTTCCTGCCACCTAGTCCGGTTCTCCGCCCCTGCCGGCACTGGCTGCTGCCCCCTCACGTTTCCTCTTCCACTTTCCTGTAATCGGACACTGGCAGCCCCAGGTCGGGGGTCTGGGTCCTGGTCAGAGGGCACCACCTCTGCCATTCAGCCCTCCATGCTCTGCCCTCCTCCCGCTATTGTGGCCTCTCCACCCTCCCCGCAGCCCCATCGGCCCCAGCCCCTCCAGTCAGCCAGGCCCGGGCCCCTGCGGATCACACAACGCATCCTCAAGATGGGCCTCCCGCCCCGGCACCTGGGCCCATTGATCAGGAATGGCTGGGGGGCTCCTAGCTGGGGAAGGGAGGGAGCCAGGAGGGGGGACCGGCAGCGGGAGAGGAGGCTGCGCGACGTCAGAGCCTTCCCACCTGCCCTCCTCCCGCACAGCACCGCCCTGGAGCTGGACGAGCCCAGCCAGTGGCCGCACACAGTCCAGTCTGAGGGCGTCTTGGAGAAGCGGTCTCGCACATCCCAAAGCCAGGGTCCCACCTGCAGAGCAGGTGCCCGGCTCGGGTGGAGAACCAAGACCTGCGCGATCTAGGAGGGAAGGACGGCCCTGAGCGCCTGAGAGCTGAGCGGTGCTGCTGGACGGACCAGGAGACCAGGAGCGGCTGACCACCCCTCGCAGCAGGCAGGGGCCCCTCGGGTGGCAGCTGCAGCCCGGCCCCTGCTGAGCGGGGCCTCTCCAGGAGCTGGACGTCCGGGCTGTCCCCATGGCAGGTACAGTGCAGGCAGCTGAGGCGGCCCTATGGGTGGGCTCAGGCTCCAGGGTGAGTGGGGCAGGGTAGGGACTGGGCATGGGGACCAAGGAAACCCCACTAGACCCAGGCCCTGGGCGAGGGGGTGGGGCAGGGGCACCCCAGGCTGAGCCCTCAGGTCCTGCGAGGGCAGGGCTGACGGGCTTGCAGCCACCCCAGTGTAAATATGGGGGTGCTGACAGGTGGGGGGACAGAGCCATTTCTGGGTGGTGACAGCCTTGTCAGGCGTGGGTGACCTAGGGCCTGTCCCCTCCGCTCTCTGGGCCTCACCCTTGAGTATCAAGATGGGGGCTAGATGAGAAGCCTCTACCTGCTGCTTCAGACCCGACTTGATGCCAGTGGGACACTGGCAGCTCCTGACCCAGAGGGGCGCTGGTTTCTAGAAGAACCAGGCAGAGGACAGGCCCCTCCCCAGGGTTCCTGAAAGCACTGAGGGCCAGCACACTGACCGGAGTGGGCAGGGGGTGGGCTCAGAGAAGACTTGGGAGCCAGTGACCAGCCTGAAGCCCCCAGGCTGTGAAGCCATGAGCCTCTCCCCTTGGGACCCATCGCCGTGGACCCTGGGCACTGGTATTGGTTATCTGGAGGAGCTATTTGCCCCACAGGGCAGCAGAGCTACTGGCAGGGCCTGTCCAGGCGGTGGGGACATCAGTCCATCCACCCTTCATGCCCCTCTGGGGGAGGCAGACCTGATGTGACCCATCCCCCTCAGGGGGACCCACCGCCCCCAGACTGCAGAACTCCCAGGGCCTTTAGTGAGGTGCCACTTCCCACACTCTCTCAGGGCTGTTAAGGATGGGGCCACGGGGCCTGGGCCCCTCATTCTCACCAGGCACCCACTATGCACCAGCTCTGGCCAGGCACTGCCCACCTGTTAGCTCATTACACGCTATAAGGCCCCAGGACTCTCCCTCCCCCGTCTACCTATCCGTCCATCCAGCCAGCCAGCACCGAAATTCCACCTCTGCCCAGGGCGTCCTGTGGTTTTACCAGGCCCTCGGCCCCTTGGCGACTGCTAGAAACTAAGAGTCTCTTTTTCAGGATATTTTCTCCTAGTTTTAAATTTTTAATTGTGGTAAAATACACATAGCATACAAATTAGCATTTTACCCATTTTTAAGCGCACCGTTCAGCGGCATTAAGTACATTCACATTGTCGTGCAGCCATCACCACCGTCCATCCGGGACTTTTTGCATCTTGCAAAACTGACACTCTGTCCCCATTAAACAGTCAGTCCCCACGCCCCTCCCCCAGCCCTGGCACCCACCATTCCACTGTCTGTCTCTATGAATTTGACGACTCCAGGGACCTCCTATGAGTGGAATCATGCGGTCTTTGTCCTTTTGTCACAGGCTTATTTCACACAGCATAATGTCCTCCAGGGTCATCCATGTGGTAGCAAGTGTCAGCACTGCCTTCGTTTTTCAGGCTGAATAATGTCCCATTGTCCGGACAGAGCACATTTTGTGTACCCGTTCATACACTGATGGACACTGAGGCTGCTTCCACCTTTGGCCGTTGTGAACATGCCGCTGTGGCCACCGATGCCCTCGTCTGTTCAGGCCCTGCTGTCAATTCTTTGGGGATGTGCCTAGAAGTGGAATTGCTGGACCGTATGGGAATTCTCTCTTTAATTTTTTGAGGAACTGTTATTCTGTTTCCCAGCGACTGCACCATTTTATATTCCCACCAACATTGCACAAGGGTCCCGATTTCTCCACGTCCTCGCCGACATTTGCAATTTTCTGCTTTGGGTCTTGTTTTTTGTTTTGTTCTTGGCAATAGCCATCCTCGTGGATGGAAAGTAGTATCTCGTTATAGTCAGGATTTTTTTTTTTTTTTTTAACCAGAAGGGTGGAGGGTGGCAAAGCTTTGGGCCAAAGCTCGTGCTAGGATTACAGATCAAAAGATGGGATCTTTAGAAAAAAGCGAGGAGGCCAGAGAAGAAAGATGTTAGGATGGGCTTCCGGAGGCAGGATTTGGGCAGGGTTTCGAGGTCAGAGATGGATGAGAGTCGTTCATAGTAATTCAGAGATCTCCTCTCAGCTCAGTTCTCCTTAAGGGGACCAGGCAGTGGGGTCTCCAGGGAGCTAAGAAAGACCCCCAACCCCCACACCCACCCCCAGGGCCTCATGTGAACCATTATTCATTAGAGGTGTCATTTATGAAGGGCCTCCCATGTGCCGGGCCCTGGGCGTGTCCTCACAAATCCTCACATTGGGCGTGCGAGGCGGGTATCAAGAACCCCTTGTGATGGATGTGGGAACTGAGGCTCCAGGAAGTGAAACAATTTGCTCAAGGCCACAAGGCCCCCTGATGGCTCAAAGATTCCCTGGGAGCCAGAGAGGCCCTGTCTCCAGCCTCCAGGAGCTTTCAGGGAGCATTTACCTCACGAGGTGATGCTGAGTCAGGAAGACTGTGGGAACACAGGCCTGGCAGTCAGGGAGGGCTTCCTGGAGGAAAAGGCACCTAGGTGCAGCCTGAAGGGTGAGGGCTGGCTGGGTGGAGTGGGGCTCTGTGAGGGGAGCAGGGTCCCAGGCTTCCATCCTCTCTCCCCAGCCTTCCTCTCTGCAGGCCTTGGGGTACTTGCAGCCTCAGAGACCTACCCCCTGCCCATGACCAGCTCTAGCTGGGAGCACCGGCTGGACTCCCCGTTCCCATCGGGCCCTTCCACCAGCTCCACAGAGGCCCCAGCTGTGGCTGAGCCCACTGGGCAGGGCCCCAAGAACCCTCGTGTGTCCAGTGTGACGGTCCAGCTGGAGATGAAGGCTCTGTGGGAGGAATTCAACCAGTTGGGCACAGAGATGATTGTCACCAAGGCCGGCAGGTGTGAGCAGCGGGGGTGTGTGTGGTGGGGGCTGGGGGCCGGAGCCGAGTAAGTGTGCTGAGCCCCTCCCTCCCGCAGGAGAATGTTTCCCACCTTCCAGGTGAAGATCCTGGGCATGGACACGCTGGCTGACTACGCCCTGCTCATGGACTTCGTGCCTCTGGATGACAAGAGATACAGGTCTGGGGCTGGCCAGGGGGAAGCGGCTCAGACCTCAGGCGCTGAGATGGAAAAACAGACCCCTACCTGCACTCTGGGCAGAGGCAGGGGTCAGCTGGAGCCGTGCCAGTGAGGCCTGTCCTGGGGCAATAGTGGGAGGCTGGATGGCAGGGGGAAGCTGAGCTCAGGCAGCTGAGCCTGAAGTGGGCAGTGGGCTAGCCTGGGCGGAGTGAGCTAGCCCAGGGCAGCAGGTGCGGCCACAGGGAACTCAGGGCTGCACAGCATTCTTGGAGCCTCTGGTTCCTGGGGTGCGAGATGGGGACAGTGCATGGGCAGTCACGGAGACGGCGACAGCCCCTTCCCCTGTCAGCCTTGGCTCCATGGGGGCAGCGGATGAGGCGCCGTTGGCTCCATGGGGTGCAGACGGGGCACCCTTGCCACCTCGCTCTGCTTCCCAGGTACGCCTTCCACAGCTCGGCCTGGCTGGTGGCAGGCAAAGCGGACCCGGCCACACCCGGCCGCGTGCACTTCCACCCCGACTCGCCGGCCAAGGGCGCGCAGTGGATGCGCCAGATCGTGTCCTTCGACAAGCTCAAGCTGACCAACAACCTGCTGGACAACAACGGCCACGTGAGGCCTGGGCCACAGTGGGGAGGGGTTGGGTCAGGGCAGGGGACACTGAGGTCTGATTGTGATGAAGCCTGGAGCCAGGGCTGGCCGGACCTTTGATGCCCAATGGCCTTGGTGCCTAGCACCCCCACCTGCTGCTGGGGCCAAGTTCACCTGGCTGGGGGTTGGACAGTGGAGGGGACGGTCCAGGCAGGTGGGGAAGTGGGCTGGGGGTGTGGGATTGTCCCAGCAAACACTGTCCTCCTTGTGAACAAGGTTTATGAAACGCCCAGCACGGGCCAGGCCTGTTGTAGCTGCAGGAACACAGCACTGTTGACACTTTGTCAAACACACAAGGTCCCTGGCTCGTGGGGCTCACCTCTTGGGGTAGGGGAGACAGTAAGGATCCAGAAGACTCTGCATGCAGTGTCTCAGAGGGTGACAAATGCCAGGAGAAAAAGGAACCCAGGAAGGGGGCTGTTCTGTTGGGAGAGGGGCTGAGGGGCTGTTTGAAGAGAAGTGGAGAAGGGAGCCTGCGCATATAGAAAGGGGAGCTCTTGTAGCCAGAGGGAACAGCAAGTGCAAAGGCCCTGAGGCTGGAGAATGTTGGGCAAGTTGGGGGAACTGCAAGGAGGCTCCCATGTGGCTGGAGTGGATGGAGGAGGGGTGGAGGGAGGAGAAGAGATCCTAGAGGCTGCCAGGGCTGGTCTGCCAGGCCAGCCAAGGGGATTCTGGCTTTTACTCTGTGCGGGGTGGGAGCCCCAGGAGGGTTTTGAGCGGGGGGTGACACGCTATGGCTCACGGGGGTTGTGTGTGGAGAATGGACAGAGGGGCCAGGTGGAGGCAGGGAGACCAGTCAAGAGGCAGCTGAGGAAAGAGGAGAAGAGGATCCCCAGGAGAAAGAGGATGGTGGCCAGCTGGGGTGGGAAAGGCGGTCCGATTCTGGGACGTTCGGCAGGAAGAGGCGACAGCTGGGACGCGGGTGTGAGGGACGGGGGAGCGGCAAGGATGCTCAGACACAAAGGGGCCTTCGACACAGAACTGCAGCCTCTCAAGTTCAGACCCTGCGCCACCATCACAAGAAAGGGGGGCAGCAGGCCCAGCATGTTCTCTCTGTTCCGGGGAGAAGGGCTTCAGCCTCAGTGAGGGGTTGCTGCTGCCCGCCCCCCCCACCCCGTCCAGCCCCTTCCACTCCCCCCACAGATCATTCTCAACTCCATGCACCGCTACCAGCCCCGCTTCCACGTGGTCTTCGTGGACCCACGCAAGGACAGCGAGCGCCATGCCCAGGAGAACTTCAAGTCCTTCATCTTCGAGGAGACCCAGTTCATGGCTGTGACGGCGTATCAGAACCACCGGGTGGGTCGGACCACAGCTCCTGACGCAGCTGCCAGCCCACTTCACAGGGATGGAGACTGCGGCCCGAGGCTTTAGCCGCTACATGCACACAGCCGCCTGCCCTTCCCTCCTTCCCTGGGACTCTGTGGGCATCTGCCCGCAGTCATTCCCCTGCCTTCACACTACGGGCTCTGTGGTTCCTGGGCCGAGGGACTGGGGGTCCCGAGGGGACAGGGTGGCTGAGCCTGGGCCCCATAGCCTTTCTCCAGCTCAGGGCTGACCTCTAATTGCACTTTCTCTTCTGCAGATCACCCAGCTGAAAATCGCCAGCAACCCTTTTGCCAAGGGCTTTAGGGAGAGTGACCCGGACTCCTGGTACCGTCCGGCCCTGGCCAGTTCTGCCCTGCTGCCCTACCCCAACCCCTCCCCCCAGCCCCAGGCGGCTCCTGAGGCCTCAGCTCCTGACCCTTGTCTCAGGGTCGCACCCACTGACTTGTCTTGGGGTCCTGCTGTCTGACTCTGACCACGACCCTTGGCCCAGGTTCTTCACCTTGACCCCCTGCCCCCTTCCTGCTTGCCCCAGCTTCAGGACTCTATCTCCACGGCCCCTGCTCGGCGTCCCAGCCCGGAGCTGCAGCAGCCTCAGCTCCTGCCCCACAGAGCAGGGAAAAGGTTTGCCCTCAGGCCCACAGACACAGCGGGACCAGAGCCTGCACGGTGGGCGGGGAGGGAGGGGACGGCCACAGGGCCTCCAGGAAGGGGCTTCAGCAAGCCCACTGGGCACCTGTGTGGACAGAGAGGTGGGGGCAGAGACTTCTAAGACGATATGAGGCCCAAGGCAGGGACAAGGTGCTGAGAGCAGGGGTGGGAGTGTCAGGTGGGCTTCCCGGAGGAGGTGGTTGCCAAGCTGGGCCTTGGAAGACCGAAGGGTTTGGACAGAGAGAGAAGGTAGGGAAGGAATTCTAGGCAGAGGGGAGAGCAAGCGCAAAGGCTGAGAGGTGGGCAATTTGGGATGGGAGGAGCTAGGATGACTGATGATGTGAGGGGAGGTCTGGGGTCCACTCAGACCATTGCCTCCCTCAGATCCCAACAAAGCTCCAGCCTCCACCTCCAGGACCCCTGCCCGGCTCCACCATCAGCTGCTGGCGCCCCCTGAGGCTCTGCTGACCCCGGCCACCTACCGGCCCATTACCTATCAGGGCCTGTACCCCGGAGCCTCAAGCTCCCTCAGGAACCCAAGGGCCAGACCAACACCGTACCCTCTTCCCAATCTCCAGGCTAACAGGGATCAGGGGGGGCTGGCCCTCCCAGCTGGGCTGAGGCTTCTGTCCTCCACCACCATGTGCCTGGGGCCTGGCCAGGACCCGTAGTGATGGTGGGAGCCCTGTGGACAGAGTCCTCTTATCCTGGATCCCACCCCCTCCAGCCTCCTCTGCAGAGACCCCTCCCCTCCCAAGGAAAGCAGGGGAGGCCAACCCCAGGGAGGGAGGCTACTGCCCAGAGTCACAGCAAAGCTGAGACCGTGCCAGGCTTGGAACCAGGCCTCCCACCTCCCAAGCTGCCCCCTTCTGCCTTGGGGGTGACTCCTCCAAACCATGCTTTACCTCTCCCTCCCCCCCAACATTAAACGATTTGGCATGGGTGGTCAGAGCACTTTTGTCCTTGGGGGCGGGATGGAGGGCCTCAGGAGAGTAGCCGAGTGGCAGGGCTGAGAGGGAGGCTGGGGTTCCTGCGCCCTGCCCTGTGTGGCCGGATGAGGGCCAAAACCGGCTCAGAGAGGCACCGGGACCTGTTCACAGTTACACAGCAAGGCATGGCCGACACCTGCCGTCTAGGTGCGGTGCGCAAGGCTGGGCTCGTCTGGTCTGGTCCTCGGAGGGATGCAGAACCACGAGAGGCCAAAGTGGGGGTGGGGGAGAGATGTGAGACTGCGATGAAGAGAAAGCGACACTTAAACCAACACCTACAGAGCAGAGATTGCAGGGCAGGGGGAGGGAGACGAGCTCCGGCGGAGGCAAAGCAGGGCAAAGGTGCTGGAGTCGGGCCCCGGGAGTGGGAGGGCGGCGCGCGACACCCCGCGGAACCGGGGGAACGGGCTCGGAGGGAGGCCGGGCCGGTTCTCCCCCAGCGGCCCTGACGCCCTCTGCCTCCTGGAGGGGCGCCCCACGGCGCCCTAAACGCCACTCTGCGCATCCTGAGCACTTGGTGAGGGCCCCTAGGAGGGCGACGGACACACGCGGGCGCGAAGGGACGCGGGGCCTCAACAGCCAGACACCCTGACTCCCAAACCCCACAGTCACAAGGGCCGGGGCAAGGCGGCCAGGCCAGGACCCAGCCGAACTGCTGCACGCGTTCTGGGACACGCTCAGCCGACCTTGCACCCAGCTCCGCCCCCGGCCGGAAGCCCAGGCTACCGGGCCCCGCCCCTTCCGGCCCCGCCCCTTCCGCGGAGGGTCCCGCCCCCGCCCCACGGAGGTCCCGCCCCCTTTACAGGCCCCGCCCCTCGTCGGTGAGTTTCGAAGCTGGAGGGGCGGGGCGTTCCCGCCGACTCCTCCCGCAGCCCGCCCGGGGGCCCGAGAGGCCGGGGATCGTTCGCGCCGCCCCGCCCCTTCCCGCGCCCGGTTCCGCGCCCTAGGTGTCCCGGCCGCGTCCGGCGGGACATGCTGCCCGACTGCCTGTCGGCGGAGGGCGAGCGGCGCTGCCGGCGGCTGCTGGCGGGGGCCACGGCTCGGCTCCGCGCGCGGCCCGCTGCGGCCGCGGTGCTCGTGCCGCTGTGCTCGGTGCGCGGGGTCCCGGCGCTGCTCTACACTCTGCGGTCCAGCCGCCTGGCCGGGAGGCACAAGGGTGATGTCAGGTACACCGGCCGGGAGCTCCTCTCCCTTCTAGGAGGCTCCCGGAGACCGCGGGGACCGAGGGCAAGGCACTTAGCCTCCCCGAGCCTCGGTTTCCGCCTCTGGAGAATGGGTCTGGCGAGAGCCCGTCCGCCCGCGGGCTGCGGCGGGGAGTCGGCGACCGGCGCGCCTCCGCCCAGAGCCTCGAGCCCCGGGTGCTCCTGTCCGGGTGCCGCACCACCTCGGGCCGGGACATCTCTCTGAGCTGTGTCCCCATCTCTAAAAAGGCAGGACCCCGCCCCCTGCCGGCGATTATAGGGACATTCGAGTTCCCGAGCCGAGGAAGCGAGCGGGCCGGGCTGCCCGGTTTCCCGTCCTGGCCCTGCCCCCGGCGGGAATTGAGAACACCCTAGAGTCAACGTCGGCACCACTGGGGCCACCCTAGGCAGAATTTGGGGGTCTGAGCCCCAGGCCCTTCTTGCCTCCCCTGCTAGACCCCCAGGGACTCTCCCCATTACCCCCATTGCTCAGGAAGTTAACTGAGCCTCCAGAGGGCACGAGGCCTGCCCCAGGCCCCACAGAGGCAGACGTTGCCTAGGGGGGTCACGGCCCTCTTCCCCAGCCAACACCCCCACCCCTCCATGGCCGCGACACCCCAAGGACCACACTCCCTGTGCCTGTTCAGTTTCCCAGGCGGCAAGTGTGACCCCGCTGACCAGGACGTGGTACACACCGCCCTGAGGGAGACCCGCGAGGAGCTGGGCCTGGCTGTGCCTGAGGAGCATGTATGGGGCATCCTGCAGCCAGTGCACGACCGGGTGAGCCCGCCAGGCCCTGAGGCCACCGCCAGCCCTTACCCAGCCAGGAGCTGGGACCTCAGGGTCTCCCGCAGGCATAGGGTGTGGAGGAGCACGCCAGACCCCTACCTGGCAGTCCTATTTCATCCCCACACAACCCCTCGGGGATGGCCAGGGGTCTTTTATCCCCTTTCACAGCGGGTCCGGAGGCTCAGGTCCAGGGTGTAGGTGGCCCCCGGATGGCACAGTGGGTCTTCCTCGCAGGCTGCCCTCCGCAGCCCCACCGAGGTCATGCCTCCCCTGACTGCCTGTCCTCCCGCCCCAGGGGAAGGCCCCCGTGGTGCCGGTGCTTGCCAGCGTGGGCCCACTGGATCCCCAGAACCTCAGGCCCAACCGCGAGGAGGTGAGCGGGGGAGGCTGGGACCGGGGGGTCCCGATGCTGGGGGGCTGCAGCGGCCAGTCCTCTGTCACCCTCCCGCTGCCTCCTGCCCGCAGGTGGACGAGGTGTTTGCACTGCCCCTGGCCCATCTGCTGCAGGCACAGAATCAGGGCTACACCCACTTCTGCCAGGGCGGCTGCTTCCGATACACGCTGCCCGTCTTCCTTCATGGGCCACACCGTGTCTGGGGGCTCACGGCTGTCATCACCGAGTTCACCCTGCAGCTGCTGGCACCTGGCGCCTACCAGCCCCGCCTGGCCAGCCCTGAGCTGCCCAGGGGCTGAGGCCCGGCCCTCAGCAGCCAGCCCCTGCCTTCGCCCTGCCAGGCCAGCTCCACCTCAGGATTGAATAAAGAGCCTTTACACCACTCTGTGGCAACTGTGTCTTCTGCCCTGGGCCCCTGGCTTTGGCAGACCCCACCAGACAGGTGGCCTCCTGGCTGCAGTGCCTCTGGCCAATCGCACTATTACCCTCAGCCGTGGGCACTCACTGTGATGCTTACTGTATGCCAGGTACCGGGTGTCATTTCTCTCTTCACCCTCACCACAGCCCCATCAGGTGAGGCCAGCGCTGTCCCTGCCTGGTGAGACGGGCTTCTGGAGGACAGATACCTTGCCTGAGGTCACCCCAAGAAGGGGTTTGAACCCAGCCCGCTCTGAGTCCAGAGCTCTCAGCCGCCACGCTGGATAAGTGTCAGCCCACGCCTCCTACTCCCCCTCCATGCCTGCTGACCCTGCGGCCTCGCTCCTACCAGTGTCAGGTGCGGTGCTGGAACCACATCTGCAGACCGGCCAGTTGCTGTCCTGCCCTCTGCCGGGAGGTTCAGTCGGGGGGAGACCTTAGAGCAGCTCACACAGATAATCGTGTGATTGCACATTCATTAATCACAGATAACAGTGGGACTATACATCAACTATGTAGACCAGGGTTCTGAGAGAGAGAGTTGAAAGGGTGAGCGGTCTGACCTTGACATGGTGATCTGGGAAGACTTCTTGAACAGTATTAGCCAGGACGAGTGAAAGAAAACTCCACCCCCAAGCTGACTTTGCCAAAAGAGGAATGGTGGTTACAAAAACTCTAGAGATAAACTAGCTTCAGGCATGGCTGGATCCAGGGGCTCAGGGGCACTCTTTCTCTTTCTGTGATCCCACTGTGTTGGCCTCACTCTCAGAAGCATTCTCTACTCCACAGGGATGAGAGGTGAGGAGAGGGCAACAGCTCTAGGTTGGCATGGGACTGGCGTCCCATCAACAGACAACAGAGCTGACTTTTCTCAGCCAGTCTCACCCAGAATTGCACTTTATCTGCCTCCCTTGTGTCACATGGCCTTCCCTGGGATTGCCACATGGCCTGCTGGATTTGGAATTTGTTGATGGCAGGGCCTGGCGCACCGGCCTAGGGAGGAGTGTGAACCTCCTGGACTGAGAGTACAGAAAGGGTGGCCCAAAGGACCACTGGGAAGAGAGGGAAGGGAAGGCTGACCTGGTAAAAACCAGCCAAGTTCCCCTGCAGGGAGTGGCCTTGACACCAAAGGTGAGCTGGAGCGGGGCCAGGTCAAAGGGCAGAGGAGGCAGTGGGGCAGAAGGAGCAGCACATGGGTGTGCAAGGGAGCCAAGAGCAATGTGGAGGGGGAAGGAGGCCCACCACGCAGGGGGCCGCTGTGAGGTGGGGACCTCATTCCAAGCCAGGAGAAGGGGAGGGGGGTGAGGGGATTCGTGTTTAAAAAGCTTGAGCTGGCTACTGCAAGAGGACCAGCTTGCAGATGCCCTCCTCCCTGGGTGCGCCCTGTCCGCCCAGACACCTCCCCCTCCTCCTGGGGGCCCCCCTCCTACCAGGTACCCCCATCCTCCTAGGTGCCCCCCACACGCAAGCACTCCCATCTCACCTTCCCATGCGCCTCCCCCACACCTCCCAAAGTGCCCCCGCACCCCTCCCCCTTCTCACACACCTCCCCACATGCTCCCTCCGCTGCAGCCCTTCCGGCTCACCTCCTGCTTCCTCCCCACACACCCCTCCCATTGCCCCTCACACCCCTTGTGTCACCTCTGGCCCTCCAGCCTCCTCACTTGGGAGCAGGGCCACATGACAGTGGTAAAAATAACTCTGTCTGATGGTGTGTGAATGGGGAGGGGAGCTAAGGGAGGCTGGGCCCCCACAGTAGGGAAGGGAGCCTCGGGGTTGAGGGCAGGGAGGTGGCGGTCTCCTGAGCTCTGGAGTTCAGTTACGAGCCCCCCCCATTCCTGCCCCCCCCACACTCCTGCCCACCCGCCCCCCCAGCCTTGCTTACACGGCTGCCTCTGGCAGGCGCGCAGCTGGTGCCAGCAGTGAACCAGAGCAGCTGGAGGAGCTCTCATAGGGTAAGCAGCCCAGCGGGCCTGACCGCCAGCACACTGGGTCCCCCTCCAGGCTGGGGCCCCTACTTCTCCCCCACCCACCCACCTTGACCCTGCACTCTGTCCTCAGGTCCCAGCTGCCAACCAGGACCAGCCCCCGCCCCCCCGCCCCCCACTGCCTGCTGTCGGCGCCCTCAGTGGTGCTCCTTCATCCTGTCTCACTGGCCTGGTGCGTGCCCCTCATCTCTACTCTGCGGGGGCTTCTCTGAGTCCCTGTCCCCATGTCTGAGCCCCCATGGCGGGCACGGCGGCAGCGAGCAGGGGGCGGCCACAGCGGGTGAGCATGCAGGAGCACATGGCCATCGACGTGAGCCCGGGTCCCATCCAGCCCATCCACCTCATCTCTGACTTCTTCCCGCACTTCTACCCCTTCTCGAGGCCCACCCTGCGCGCCCCAGGCCCGCGCCCTGCAGTGACCCCCGCCCTCCGCTCTGCACCTCAGCCACAGCCCGATCCAGAGCCAGAGGGAGACTCAGACGACAGCAGTGAGTAGCGGCGGGAGACAAGGGGGACACCTGGGCCCAGCCCAACCACCGGGGAGGGCAGGGCAGGAGGCATGGTGTCATGGGGGGCGAGGGAGGAGCTGACCCTGCCTGCCACCTGCCCTTAGCTGTCCTGGGCACCCTCGAGTTCACGCTGCTTTTTGATGCGGACAACAGCGCCCTGCACTGCACGGCTCATCGTGCCAAGGTGAGGATGGGGGCAGGGGTCCCTGGCCCATGGGCCTGGGACACAGGCCTGCCGCACATCCACTGTCTGTTCTCAGGGCCTCAAGCCACCGGCCTCAGGCTCTGTGGACACCTACGTCAAAGCCAACCTCCTTCCGGGGACCAGCAAGGTGAGAGCGAGCCCCAGCCCCTGCCGCTGTCCCCGGGCCACACACCAGCGTGGAGCACCCACCTGGCCCTGCCCTGCTCCTCCCCATCAAGGCCCAGACGTCAGGCATGGAGCTCCCCATTGCTGGGATGTGCAACTGGGGGCCCTATCAGGGAGGCGGGCCAGCGTGGGTCCCTGGGGCCCGAGGAGGCCCTGACCCACCTGCCTGGCCCCCAGGCCAGCCAGCTGCGGACACGCACGGTTCGGGGCACCAGGGGCCCTGTCTGGGAGGAGACACTCACCTATCACGGCTTCACCCGCCAGGATGCCGGGCGCAAGACCCTGCGGTGAGCATCGGGCTGGGCCTCCAGAGGGCAGGGTGGAGGGGGGCTTGCCTGGCCAGGTCTGACGTGCGTGGCCACCAGGCTGTGCGTGTGTGAGGACCCCCGGCTGCGGCGACGGCGGCGGGCGCCTCCCCTGGGGGAGCTCCGGGTGCCCCTGAGGAAGCTGGTGCCCAACCGAGCCCGCAGCTTCGATGTGTGCCTGGAGAAGCGGAGGCTGGTGAGTGGGGCGGCGCCGGGGTGGGACTCTGGGGGCCGGGGACCATATGAAGGGGGAGCTGGAGAGGGGAGGGGCAGGGAGGGGGCCTAGGCAATGTCCAACCAGGGTGACTGGGCTCTCTGTTTTTTCAGACCAAGAGGCCCAAGAGCCTGGACACGGCCCGTGGCATGTCCCTGTATGAGGAGGTGGGTAGGACAGTGGGACCCAGCAGGGATGGAGGTGGGCAGGCCTGGGGTGGTCCAGGCTGGAGTGGGTTAGGCAGGGACAAGGGTGGGCTGGGTAGGGGTTCAGGCCCACGTGGGCTTGGAGAAACGGCGGCCATTTCCCTCATAGGCCTTGTGAGCGCTCATAGCCCTGGGGAACAGCCAGTTCCCAGTGGCTGGTTGGAGAGGGTGACTCCCCTGCCAGGGCAGCCCAGACTTGCTGTGGAGCCCTGGGACAGCAAAGCCCTCAGTGGGCAGAGGTGCAAGCCACCATGAGGCAGAGGCCGAAACTGGGGGCGTTTGTCTGTGGCCCCACCTGGGAGGGCAGGTCAAGGTCCAGGAGACAACGCACAGGGGTGGGGCTCCCTGGCTGCTAGGTCAGCCCCAGGGGCAGGTAGCCCTAGCCAGGCCCTTGTCAGGAGGCAGCGAAGGTGACTACAGGGGGCCCCAGGGGAGACCAGAGACCTGGCCAGAACCCCTGGGGCCCGGCAGGGACGTGGCATCCGCAACGTGGTGGCTCCTCTTGGACAGAAGGGCCAGTGCTGCTGCCCTGCCCCCTGGTGGAGCCACAAGTTGGTGCAGCTGCCAGTTAGCCAAGGCCAGGCAAGTTCCAGCGAGGTGGGGCCGGCACCCTGCGACAGCCACTTCCTGTCCAGACCCCAGATGCCGCAGCACCAGGGTGCACAGCGGTCACTCACGGGGCCCTCCCTCACTGAGAACTGGCTGCGAGCGAGGGGGCTGGGCTCCCTGCCAACCGAATCCCATCCTCCATTAAGTGTGGGAGCAGCACGTTCTTCCCAGGCGTCCTCCGAATCCTTTCGGAAGCACCAGGACCAAGCATGGCAGAGGACATTCAGAATCTGGTCCCTGGGGGACAGGGGGTGACAGGGTGGTTTTGTAGCTGAAGAGACCCACACGTCCCTGGGGAGAGCACAGCCTCTTAGAGCTGCTTCTGTCACGGGGGCTTGCCTTGCCGGAGGGTGGTTGTAGGCACTCGGTGCGAGGCCACTTAGGAAGCTCATGGCACATCTGTGGCACTCAAGAGACATCGCATCCCTTCCCCTCCATGACAAAGATGCACCGAACTGACCAGTCACGTGGCCTGGGCAAGCCCCTCCCCTTCTCAGGCGCTGGAGGGTACAGCTGACCTGTAAGTTCTCTTCCAGGGCACTAGGCCAGTGACTGATTTTGGAAATTGAATCATGAAAAGAAATCGTTGACCCCTGATTTCTTTGCAGCCAGTCTGAGTTCTCCCATCCGGGCTGACACGCCTGGGTGGGGGGCTTTGGGCCACACCAGGCCTGACCCCCACCTACCCCTGCAGGAGGAGGTGGAGGCAGAGGTGGCCGAGGAGGAACGTGGGCGCATCCTGCTGTCACTGTGCTACAGCTCTCAGCGGGGTGGCCTGCTGGTGGGCGTGCTGCGCTGTGCCCACCTTGCCCCCATGGATGCCAACGGCTACTCGGACCCCTTCGTCCGCCTGTGAGTGCAGACAGGTGGGCAGAGGGGGCCCACCTCTCCAGAGCCACATCTAACCCAACCCCATCCTCCCCAATCAGTTTCCTGCATCCAAACGTGGGCAAAAAATCTAAATACAAGCCCAGCGTTCGGAGGAAGACCCTGAACCCCGAGTTCAATGAGGTAGGACAGCGCCAGCTGGAGGCCGTCCTGGCCTCTCGGGGGTGGCAGAGGTCAGCGTCCTGGCTCAGGCAGAAAGTGGAGGTCCCAGTTAACCTGAGCCACTCACCTGCCTGAGCCTGTTTCTGAAGCTCTGAAGAACCCGAGGCCACCTCCTTCCTACCTTTGTGCCCCCGGCCCCCCCACAGGAATTCTTCTACGCAGGCCCAAGGGAGGAGCTGGCCCAGAAGACGCTGCTGGTGTCTGTGTGGGACTACGACCTGGGCACGGCGGACGACTTCATCGGTGAGTGGGAATGCAGGGGAGCTGGGGTGGGGGCCTAGTGGGCTCCCACATGGCTCCTGACCCATCTCCCAACCCAGGCGGGGTGCAGCTGAGTAGCCGGGCCAGTGGCGAGGGCCAGCAGCACTGGAGTGAGTGCCTGGGCCACAGTGACCGCCGGCTGGAGCTGTGGCACCCGCTCGATGGTGCACCCTTCCAGCTCAGCGACTAGCAGGGGTGCCCAGCTCTGCTCACCGCCCCTCACTCAAACTGACCCACGGATGTCTCCACGGAGCTGGGAGGACCTGGGGCTGCCTCACCCACCGTGCCCAGTCCCTAGTCAGATTGTTTCCTCCCTTCCCTTCCTTCAAATTCACCCCACTGTCGGATCATGAATCAAGAATAAACCTCTCCTCTGAACCAGACCAGAGAGCCTGTGCTTTCCCAGCCCCTCGCCTTGCAGGGAAGACTGCGCCCCGTTCTCCTTGCTCCACTCTCCAGGACCTCAGGCCTGGACCCTAGGCCACAGCTTTCCCCTCACCGCACCAGGGAAAGCCGGCTTGCCTGCCCCTGCTTCCTGCAGTGAGGGATGGCTGCTCGGGATGGTCTAGGACAGGCTGGCCCACAGGAGGCCACGGTGCGGATTCACAACATGACCTTGAGCTGACCTACCCCTCCAAGCCCCCAGCTCTGTCTGGCAAACAGGCCTCCCTGAGTTGTGGCTGCGGGTGGCAGGGTGAGGACAAGGCCACAGAGAAGCTGCGATGGAAGAGCAGGCAGCATTTGCTTTATTGTCCAACTCTTGGACAGACAGATGCCAGCCCAGGGTGGCGGGCTCAGGAGGCAGCTTGCCTGGCCTGGTGCTGCTGGGCAAACCGATGCATCCGCTCCTCGAGCTCTGGCCGGAAGTGACGGATCAGGCCCTGGGGGTGGGAGGCACTGTGTGAAGCGGGGTCTGAAAATCCCCCAACGCCCTGGGCTCCCAGCGCCCCCACCCAAGCGGCACACAGCAGGGCAGCGGGTACCTGCACGGGCCAGGCGGCCCCGTCGCCCAGGGCACAAATGGTGTGGCCCTCTATCTGCTTGCTGATCTCCCAGAGGGAGTCGATCTCGGCTGGCCGGGCGTCCCCCCTCACAAAGCGGGCCATCACCTTGTTCATCCAGTCCACACCTGCAGCCGTGGTGGCAAGACAGGGCCTGACGGTCTCCCCCAGGCAGGGTGTGGAGGGCAGCACTTGAGGGGTGCCTGCCCCACGCGGGGTGGGCTAAGAGAAGCCATGGCAGGCTGGGAGGCAGTAGCTATTTATCCAGGGTCCCTTGTCCTGTGTCCGACCTGGGCCCAGGGTGAGTCACAGACAAAGCCACCCCCCGGCCCAGGGTGCTCACCCTCGCGGCATGGGGTGCACTGGCCACAGCTCTCGTGCTTGTAGAACTCAATGAGGCGGGCGATGGCTTTCACAATATCTGTCTGGGGTAACAAGGGACAGTAAGCAGCCCCCCAAGGCCTGAGCCTCAGCCCTCCAGCAGCACATCCTCCTGATTCCAGTGGCATCCTGGCCACCTCCACCATCCTCCCTGGGGTCCTGCACGGCCCAGACCCCACGGGCATTCCCACCGATTGCAGCCTTGCTCCCCTCCTCTCCCACCTCACTGTAACTCAGGCTGCAGGAACTGGGACCCGAGAGCTGGCAGGAGTTCTCAGAAGCCCAGGAAGGGGTGCTAACCAGGCTGGCATAATGCAGGGCCCGGGCGGGGGTGTGTCCCAGCCCTTACCGAGCGGTCCATGACGATCACGGCGGCCGTGCCGAGGCCGCTCTGTGCCTGCACCAGCGCATCGAAATCCATCAGCACTGTCTCACACACGGACTTGGGGATCAGTGGGGTGGACGAGCCGCCAGGGATCACAGCAAGGAGGTTGTCCCAGCCACCGGTGACACCTCCTGGGACCCCAATCAGTCCCCAAAAGGACGGATGGTCAGGGCTGGGGCTCGCACACCTGCCTAGTCCTGAGCCCACGACCTCTGTCAGCGCCCACCCCAGCCCCGGCTCCTGAGGCCCTCCCACTCCTGGCTTTCTTCACGGACACGCTGCCCCGTCCCCCACCCGGCTGGCCCCAGGCCTCACCGGCATGCTTTTCAATCAGTTCCTTCAGCGGCACAGACATCTCCTCCTCCACAGTGCAAGGGTGGTTGACGTGGCCAGAGATGTTGAACAGTTTGGTGCCCGAGTTGCGCTCGCGGCCAAAGCTGGCAAACCAGGCACCCCCGCGGCGGCAAATGGTCGGGGACACAGCCACTGTCTCCACATTGGCCACAGTTGTGGGGCAGCCAAACACTCCTGTGGGGGAAATGAGACAAGAGACCAGTGGCAGCCAAGGGGTGGGGACAGGTTGGGGCAGTTTTCCCGGGAGTGGGGTCGTCCCAGGGTCTTGCTCCTGTAGCAGAGCCCCCCTTTCACCTCTTTATCATTCTCACCGCCCAGTGGACCCCAAACTCCAGCAGGAGCTGCACTGCCTTGTGCACCACCCTGCCTCTAGCTCCTGGAAGGAACCTGGGTGTCTGAGGTTGGCGCAGAGGCTGGATGAGGGACTGTAAGGTGGCACTGGTGGAGTCTCTCTGTTGTTACCGCCCCACTCTCTGTGTCTGGCCCCCAGTCCAGAAGGAACTCAGAAATTCCCTAAGAACAACCAATGGGGACCTGAAGCCAGATCCCGGACTCCACAGGACAAGGGTCAGCATCAGGCCAGGACTCACCCACGTCTGCAGGGAAGGGTGGCTTCAGGCGGGGCTTGCCCTGCTTGCCCTCAATGGACTCGATGAGCGCCGTCTCCTCTCCGCAGATGTAGGCCCCAGCCCCGCGCACCACGAACACATCAAAATCGTAGCCGGAGCCGCAGGCGTTCTTGCCAATGAGACCAGCCTCGTAAGCCTCTCGGATGGCCACCTGTGGGACAGGGGGATGAGGGCACCATCCTGAGAGCCCAGGGACACTGCGTTTTGGAGGGAGAGGTCTAGGCTCAGTGAGCCCATCACCAGGATGGCCCCAAATACTGCTTCTATAGTAGAAGAAAAGACCCTATAGATTTTTTAAATACACGTAATAATAATAACACTTATACGTAATGCTCCTATGTGCCAGGTGCTATTCCCATACCCCTCATTGCTGCTGTTGAGGAGCCTACTGGAAAGGTGTGAGACTCTGGCCCAGAACCAATTGCTGCAGGCGTCACCGAGCTGAGAACTCCTAAAATGACCTCTTGACCCTTTTGCAGGAAAAATGCCCGAGTGTGAGTTCCCTGGCGCAATCCCACCCAGGAACCCTGGAGTCCTGGAAGGCCTCCCAAGCTGAGGCTCTGGAGTAGCCAGGAGGAGCCCAGAGAGGGAGGCTCTGGGGGCCACATCCTGTTCACCACACATGCAGGAGGGGTCACCATTCTCCCAGTCTGACCCCAGACAGATCAGGTGCTCAAATGCCAGAACTGCGATGCAGGTAAGCGGGCGTGTAGTGCACACCGAGTACCTCCCCCCGTTGACGTGCCTCCCCTGCCCACCTGCAGATTGGAGGCCTCATTGTAGAACTCCCCGCGGATGTAGATGTAGGCGGCACGGGCGCCCATGGCCCGACCCCCAACCAGGCAGCCTTCCACCAGCTTGTGGGGATCATGGCGCATGATCTCCCGGTCCTTGCAGGTGCCTGGCTCCCCCTCATCCGCGTTCACCACCAGATACTTGGGCCTGTGGGGCCAGCAAGTCAGTCAGGCTACGGGGCCACCAGGGCTGGCCCTTCAACCACATGCCGCCCCACTTCACCCAGGGAAGCCTCAAAGATGTCTCCTCTGACAGCCAATCTCTCTCTGCCCTCCCAACATGTTCCCAGGGGCTCTGCTTGCTCACCACCAATGACAGAGAGCTCACTGCCTATTCCATCTTTGCGTGGCTATGACCACAGGAAAGGTCTTTGTTCTGCTCAGTCCAAACGTCTCTCCTTGCGCTTTCCCGAGAGCCCAGACTCTGCTCTTGCTCACAAAGAGCCTTCCTGAACCTCCGCCACATCTCTGGGGCCAAAAGGAGGCAAAGTAGCTAACGTTTATAATTTGCTTTCTATGTGCCAACCAATGTGCAGGCCAAAAGCTGTACAAACATTCTCTCTTTAATTCCTGCACAATATTATATCCATGTACAAAAAAAACCCCAAAAGAACTGAGGTTCAAAAAGGTCAGGAGACTGCCCAAAGGTATGATTAGTAGAAAGCAAAGCTAGGAATGACTTAAGTCTGCCTGAGTCAAAATCTTGTGTTGATTCTGCTACCCCTCAAATCTCTCCTGAGGAAGACCAGAGAGAAGTGAGTCCCATCTACTTAAGCTCTGGTAACATCTTACCACTTCCTTCACTCTTAGTTTCCAAGGAAAGAGCAAAGGCCGAGGCAAGCTCCAGCCACCCCAAAGGCTCTCCTGCAACCCCATCTCTGCCTCCCTACACACACCTGCCATCGGAGGGCTTATTCATGAAGCTCCACTTGAGGCCAGTGGGGAAGCCAGCGCCTCCACGGCCCCGCAGGCCCGACGTCTTGACCTCACCCAGGATCCAGTCAGGCCCCTTCAACAGGATCTCCTTTGTCTTGTACCAGTCACCTCGGCTCTGGGCACCTTTCAGCCTGGACAGAGTGGGGAAGGCAGTGAAGGGGCGGCCCTGCCCCAGGAGCCATCAGGCTAAGGGCACAGTCTCACCTCCAGTCATGGCGGCCATACAGGTTGGTGAAGATGCGGTCTTCATCCTTCAGCGAGCCAAATGAGGTTTTCTTGGGTGCTGTCTGGGGACACAGAGGGTCAGAAGGCCCAACAAAGCTCTGAGGCCATGAAGGGCCAGGCCAGAAGCTAACGACTCTTGGGTCCCCCTGATTAGAAGGGGCTGGGCTGGGGAGACAGTACAGGCCTAAACCTCAGAACCTTTCATATCAGCACAGGTACCACCGCCACTTAGTAAGCACTTCCTGGTTAGCAGGCACTAGGCTAAGCATTTTACATCCAAAACCTCATAACCCTGAAACGGGGATGATTTCCCCCATTTTACAGTGGAGGAAACTGAGGCTCAGAGCAAAATGAACTTATGGAAGGGCGTGCAGCCAAAAGCAGCAGATGGAATCCGAGCTCAGGTCTGTCCCTGGCCAAGGCCCGCACCTGAATCACAGGACCATACTACCTCCCTGAACCCAGAGAGATGTCATGGCCATTTATCTGTCTGGCTGTCCTGCTGGACCAAAATCTGGTTAGGCCAGGGCCTTATATTACTAACTCTGCTGGAGGCAAAATACATTTACTGATGGGAAAGAAACGCCTCACTGGGGCTGGGACACAAAGGTGATGGAGGGAGAGCCACTTGGGATAAAACTGATGAGGAGAGGTGGAGCCCGGAATTCCACATGACCC